AAGGTGGGTTGAAAGGTTTCTTGTTTCTTCATCCAATTGGGTTTCATAATTTTTTTTTACAATTTAACAATTAAGTTTTCTTTCGAAATAGAGGTGTGGAGTAAAACATCTTTGTTCTGCTATTTAATTGACGAATGAAATGTAAATTATAAACTTTAAATCATCGGAAGCAGCACAAATCTTAATTTCTTACATATAACATCTTAATACTTTGCCCGCACGTACCGATGGTCTAAATATTTTTGGATGAGACAAAAATAGCTGCAACTCCTCAGATGACAAATGAAGCGAAAGAAGGATGTGTGTCAATGTCTGAGGAGAGATATTTGAGGAGACAGTGTTTATTGACTGGTGGTGTTGTCTGAATGTGAGTTGGTTGCTAAGTTGGATGGTTGGCAGTTGCAGGTAGACGAGTGGCATTTTAATTAAGGATCGTGTTGCACTTTATGAAGCAGGGCCTCAGCACAACAGTGAAGCTACTCATTTAGAATCTTTTAAACTAAATCTACGAGGAGAGTTCATAAAAGCGTCGGGCAGCATTTGTTTGAGAATTATTAATTATTATTAGTTAGGTTCCACTCATTCAACACCACATCAATTGCCATGTTATTGCAGGTTGCTTGTCGGGCCAAGTTTGTTTGCATTTAAAAATATGCTCTGATGTACTATCCAAAAGTAGTTTGTTGTCGTTTTAATGTTCATTGAGAGGCACAAATACACAAAATATTCAACAACGTACGTGCCTCATTAGAAAGATATATCAATGCATTCTCACAAACAATTAAACGTGAATAAATAAATAATTATACACACGTATATGTACATATATATATATGTGTGTGTGAATGTATATGCATGTATCTATGTATGTACGTACGTAAGCATGTATGTATATATGACCTATTCATCCTCATTATAGATGGATGATGACACGCTGTAATATAATATAAACAAAAAACACGGCTGACAGCTAGCAACACGTCATTCATCATCATCGCCAAGAAATGTCTGCTTGTG